GTCTGGCAGTTTTTAAAGTACTCAGCAGAAGAAGCAGCTTATGCAGATAGTTGGTGGGTTTGAAGCAAACAAGGTCTTTATAACAGCCTGAACTTTATTTTGTTCCTCATAGCTGTGAAAGTAAGTAAAAAAACCCAAGGAGTCAGGATCCTTTTGTGTTGTAAGAAGGTCCTGAAGGGCAATGTTGGCCTCTTGGAAAATATAAACTTGCTGACATTTTCTATACAGATCTTTTGACCTTCATCTTGAAGATGCTGTGCTCACAGCTTACATGCTTCACTGTCACTTCAGCAGCCTGTTATCCTGGCTAAAGAAATCAGACAGTTACTAGTGAAGACAGTTCCTTCTGGAGGATCTAGTAGCAGCAAGAGTTTGAACTAGCGTAGTTTATTGGTGTTTGTTCCTACCTCTTTCTAGTGAACATCATGGCTTTGAACACAGAGCTTCTGTCTAGGTTTGGCAGGGACTTGTGTCTGTGCTGGAGTTCTGTGATCCCTTAAGTGGCATCACGGATTCTAGAAAGGCCACACGAATTCTCTGGGACACTGTATCTAAGGTTACTCCTGACAGTCGTCACCTACTGCAACAGCTCCAAGTCATGAGAAAGGGATTTTAATTATTGTGCATATTTACACTCACCAGAACAACAGGGACTGTGTTGCTGTTTGTCCACATCCTGGCACTATGACCAAGGGAGTGTGTGTTTGCAGGAGCTGGCTTACAAGGCCAGACAAAGACCGTCTGGCACACAGCTAGGTGTTTCTATCAAACAAATAGTGGTATGTAATATGATCATTATCTCAGCAGGCATCATAGCAGGGTAGTATGTTAGATGGTACTTTCATTTCTCTCTAAGACACAGAAATCTTCCATGGAACAGGGTCTTTTTTTAGGTCGCTCCCTCATGGAGTGTGCCTTTTAAGTCTGAAGTAGGCCAGTACCCTGCTGAAAAATTTTGTGTACTGTTCAGGTGTCATTTGCACCTCTCCTCTGCAACACCTTGTGCCACTTCCCTGTCCCTATTTCTTGACTTTGTTTGTCACTAAGAGAGCAATCTTTCCCAGCAGAAGCTCCCACTGAGGACATAAGTAGGCTCTGCTGCCTTGGCAGTGGTGTTAATGACTCACCATGGCCAATCTACCTGAAGAGAGGCTGTTTTCAGATGCTGGCAAAAGCAAGCCAGATTGTGATACCTTCTGACGTGCATGGCAACCATGTCCAGCAGAAATGCAGAGGGAGGCCACATCATCTGAGTGACAATGTCGAGATGAGAAAGGCAATACTCGGATATATAGATATTTTGTGATCAAATCAGTCCTAGGCCAGTAGGCCTTCAGTAGAATAGCTCTGTTGATGGTTACCCCATATAACTTTTGAGTTCCTAAATGGACTGTGACCTACTGAGAGGGGTCAGCCCCCAAGGCTTCCTGCCTCAGGAAATTTTGTTCATTGCATTACAATAAAGTTTGATAAAGTTAGCCTGACGTGTTGTCAGAGATTCAGTACTTGATTGAAGATTATACAGAATGGAAACACTCCCTCCCTCTGTTTTTCTTGCGCTCTTCTCTGTAGATAAGATATTTGGTCCAATGTCTGTGTGTGCACTTGCTCTCCAGGGCAGGCAACTATGTTCCTAGACAGGATCAACCCAGAGCAGAAGAGAAGCAGCAGATGCTGGCACAGGAGCTGTAGCTTTTAGGTTAAAGAGCAGTATCCTGGCTGTGTTGTAGGGTGTTGGCAGCCAAAGCTAGCTTACACCTGCCCTCCCAAGAGATTAAGTTCATGAAGGAGAGTAGGCTGAAAGTGCAATGAATGAGAGGCACAACATGATTATCTTTCAACACTGTGGCAAACTATGCAGTAGCTAGCTGCCTGTGCATCTGCAAAGAATTTCCTTCCATACTGGAAGAACTTTAGTCCAGTAAAGGGAGGCAGTAAAAAACTTTTAACATGTGCTGTAACCTTTGACACAGCAAAGGATAGCCCACAGAACAAGCCTTTCTGAGGAAGAGAGCAACAAGATTTTGTGACAGCCAGCAGACTGGTCTCCATAGTTATCACTGCTTTTCATGTCCACAGTACAGTTGCTGCTCTCGAGAGCCAGCACATACAAATGGGTCTGGAACTGAGACCATGACAAAGACTGGAAAGAAGCCTCAGCAACGGGCAGCAAGTCTCTGCGGTGTAGCAGCCTCAGGCATGGGGCTTACAAGGGCATTGATACCAGAAAGCCAGTACACATACTTTAGTGTAGTTGCTTGATATGACTGAAGAGGAGGAAGACCTTATCTGGCAAGTTTCCGGGAAAAAGCCCACCTGAGGAACATTTGGAAGCCAGGTACAGACAGGACAGCAATTGCCATTCCACGTCAGAAACACCCAACAGTAAAAAATGAACAATCCCAGTCTGACAAGCACTCAGATGAAAGTAACAAGGACATAGTCTCCTACATGTCCATTAATCAAGACAGTGGTGTCTAGAAATGGTGACTCAAAGGCAGAGAGATCAGAACAGGAGCAGGCAAAAAAGACAACCATAAAAGTCTGTGAGCTTGCTACCAAGGATGCAGTGTTCCACCAGCAGGTCCTAGGTCAGATGTACAAAGCTGTTTTGAACCATTTTGACAGTGTCAAATAAATTTACCTCAGGTCAGGGATTTACTCTGTCATATGCCTGTAATAATTTTTGTTTGGTGTTTATAGCACTCCTGGTAAGAGCCTGACAGTTGAGCCAATCTTCCCCATGCAAAATGTTTGTGAGGTTCCTGCTGTGTCTCGCACTTGGCAGTCAGCATGGCTTCCAGACACCACATGGCATCCCGCCGTGCAACCTGGATGATAGGAGTCCTGTATAGGTTATAAAAAACCCCATCAATTTCACATTAGAAAAGTAGTATAGGTAAAGGTAAGATCAAGATTTGAGAAAGTGGCAATCCTGCCACTCAAGTGTTTTGTTCATAGGAGCATGCTGCCTAATCCATTTGTAAGCAAGACAAGGTTCTTATAAAGTGACAGATCCACCAGAGGATGTACGAAGTGCTTCTATATCTATACACATAATGGAGGATCTCAGGTACTGTCACTTCAGTCATGGCTAGCAATGGCATTCTCTTGATAACAGGAGGAAAAATGTAGATGTGCTGGGATTTGAACTGTACATACATCAGATAGAAGGCCTTATTTAGACGTTTTCACGGAGTACTGTGTAGACCTTAGACTAAAGCCAGGAAGACACTAGTTCCTTTACTATTATCTAAATGGTATTTGGCATTAATAATTTTTTACAAGACAGTAGAGTTAATCATTCTAATGCTCACTGACTGTAAGTGTGCATGTAAGCAAATATTTCAATAGAACACAGGGTACAACTGAAAGTAGTTAATGGATCTGGGGGAGCAGAGCTACCTTTTGCAACAAAATATTTGTCTTTGAACTTTGGAACAGGACTGTCAGACTCTTTTTTTAACGTCTCTCTAAGCAAAAAAACCCCACCCTTGTTCCAAATGGCTATTCTTTAGTTCAACAATAACTTCTTTAAAGTTCTTATGGATACTAAAGTAAATATATATCTTTAAGCTATTTCATTCTTTCATAGCTGCACTGTTTGACTCTGGCAGGAGCTACAAGCCGATCAGTGACTGTAGACATGACAATTTTTGTCACAGTGGTCGGACATACTTCAAAAGAGAAAAGCCAGCTTCAGGTCCTTAGTGAAAGAATGTGACCATGCTGAGGCTAAGATTGTTTGCCTTGTTACATCGTAGATGGAGCTGCCACCGTGCATATGGCTTATGTTACATTTGTTTTGCCTGTCCTGTTTTCCTCTTCTAGATCATACTCAGAGGTGCTGATAGCATTTTGTCCTCCTCAAGTTGCACAGTTCCCTTCTTTATTTGCTAGGCAATTCTATCAGCCCTTCGTAATTCTCTGAGAACTTTGGGAGAGAAGATACAGGGTCTTCACAGAAACCTTCCCTTGACAAGAAGGCAAAGAAGAGCCTCAGTCTAAGAGGCTCAGAAATGTGTGGGGTGGCAGAGAAAGAAACAAATTGTGAATCTCAGCACAGAGTCCGGCATTGGTTTAAAAGGTCTGCTGACTGCCCTGTTCTCAGTTTTGGGATGTGCTAGTGTGCCTTGCTAGCACTGATCAGTTACAGGAACTTTAAGTGATTGTTTCTCCCCCTTCCATCATACCTAGGACATTGCGTCTACAGTTCACTTGTACAGCCTTCCAACCAAGCAGAGGACAAGTGCCTAGGAAAAACAGAGGACAAGTGCCTAGGCAAGACAGCAGAGGCAGAGCTCAGGCTGCACTGTACCAGAGAAATTAGATGTAGGGATCTGGCAAGGCTGGAGAAATCAGCTTTGAGAGGTGTTGGCAAGACCCTGATCCGCTCTCCTACATGACCAGAGCTGGACTTGTCTCAAGGGTGTTTACAAATCCTTCTTCTCAGGGCATACTGAGGTCAGAATTTGGGCACTAGGCCAAGCCAGTGGCTTGGGCCAAATGGCAGTAAGTCACACTACCAGAGTATTGTTAACAGAGATTCCATTTTAATTCCTATTTGACACTTCATACTGGCAAAACTTCTCCTGCCCTGTTAGATTTCAGCTAAATCAGGCCAAAAGTTCAAAAGTTACACTGACCCACATATTACATTACATTTGTTTTCACTGGATACCAGGCAAGAAGACTTTAAAGCATATCTTCAAATGTATCATAGATAAATTGCAAATGCTAGTTTTCAAAATTCAGCAAGCAAGTTCATTATACTGCTTCTGGTGCTCTGCTGGAAAAGGAAAAGGGCATGGATTAGACAAGAAAGATGACTTGCTTATGATGAACACTTTAGAGGAAGGAAATTTGTGAACAATTCCAAGAATGCTAGCTAGATGTAAATTTTGAGAGCCAAAAGAAGGCAGCCATCTCAGCCATCATCTGCAACCAAGTGCTACTTTTGTCATAATATTTAAATTTGTGCTTCTTTTTCATCTGTATCTTTCAGAGTGGCAAATGGGAAACTTCACTACAATTTTACTGCCTTGGATAACCTCATGGATCGCCTGTGGGAAAATAAGCTAACTCCGGGTAAGGGCAGCACCCTACCTCCACAACTTGCTCCATCTGTTTGCCCAATCATCAGATCTGCAATCATCCGAAAATTCTTGTGAAAGCTTTGCCAAAGCTGATTTTGATAAAAACTCATTATTTTCCTGCTTGCCTTTATCTCATATCCATGTAAACAGTGTGAGCAAAACACTATTACAGCAATTGAGAGAACATAAATGGGTTTATCTTGCTTTCAACAACAGTTTGAGATGGGTGATTTGTGAAATGAGATCTCTGGTAGAGGAGGAAGCTACGTAACCATTAATATGTACCTAAGAAGCAGATACTTGGTGTATAACTTCCCTTGAATTCTGCAGACATGCGCTGTTTAAAGTTCCCTCTAAGCCCTAAATTTGTGGTGGTAAGTACTTGTATTGGTTACTATAGTCATTGACAAGTAACAAGTGTGAGCAGCCTCAAATCTGAAATATTCCTGGTCCAGACATGTAGAAACATGAAAGAAAGCCAATTTAATGATGCTTTTTCATAAACAAGTTTATTTCATTAGTGCAATACCCCCTTCATTAATCAAAAGGAGAGTATATTCACAAAAAAAGGAGACTAATCTTTTGTGTCTTTTTTAGGATTTGAATTGATGGGGAATCCATCGGGATATTTTTTAGATTTTGAAGATAAAGAACAGGTAGTAAGATGGAGAAACTTAATTACACTTCTGGCCAGCAGATACATAGGTAAGTTAGGGGAAAAAAAAAAGCAGAAAAAAGCTCCCAGTCATTTATTATGTTGTAATCCCTTCTAACTACCTCAAAAAGTTCTCAGTATTGTGATCAGTTTCAAGACTCTGGACCCCCCTCTTACTTTCATTGGTTTCAAATATTGCTGAGTTTCCTCTAAAATGAGATAATTCTGAAACTACCAAAATCACATTTCCTTCATAATTAAAAATAAATAACATTTATACTCTGTTGTAGCTCTGAGTAGTGAACCTCATGTGCAGTCCTAATTGATAGGATTGCCTGCATCAATAAGTAATTGATAGGGTTGCCTGAATATGCAGCTTGCTGATAAACGAGGCCTCTCCTACAGATAGGTATGGATTGGAGCATGTTGCTCGATGGAATTTTGAGACGTGGAATGAACCAGACCACCACGACTTTGACAATGTGTCTATGACAGTGGAAGGTAAGCGTGTTTTGGAGCACTTATCACTGTATTAAAGTGAGACAGATGTGTGAGGTGAGTGAAGGGGTAACAGTGAAAAAGGAGAGATGCTGGCAAAGAAATAAGGTAGATGGGAGAGTTAAGGAACGTGAAAGATACACCTAGTCTGTTTTTCTAAAATCATATTATTGCCTACACTTTGTTCCCAACTTGGGCGTCAGTATAAAAGCAGGGAGTGTAGTACAGGGAAAACAGGAGAGGAGTTACACTAAGAAGACACAGTTTGTTATTTGGTTATAAAGTAAGGTTGCTGGGAGCAAGAGGGTAAAGGATGGAGTAAGAGGAAACCTGTTCATTGACAGATGCACGCTTTGGCAACCTGTCCTTACAGGACCTTTGGAAGAACCTTTGAATGCAGCCAATGTTTTGATGTCTTCTCATATTGTCGATGTGTAGGAAAGAGTAACCCCATTTTGTGAGGTCCTGCCAGTAAAAGAAATAAGAGTTCTAACATCTCCCTGTACTTTAAGATCAAGATTCTATTTTGTGTTACCGTTTCTGATAGACGCATCTACTTGCATTTCAGGGTTTCTCAACTATTATGATGCTTGCTCAGAAGGATTAAGAGCAGCCAGTCCTCTACTAAAATTTGGAGGGCCTGGGGATTCCTTCCACCCTTTACCCAAGTCACGCATATGCTGGAGTCTTCTGTGTCATTGCTACAATGGAACCAACTTCTTCACAGGGGAAACTGGTGTACGACTGGACTACATCTCTCTCCACAAGAAAGTCAGTCCAAGATTTCACTTTAAGGCTATCTTTTAAATCAATTCAATCCAAGTTGCATTTTATTCTAATTAAGAAGTTGATTTGCAAATGAGTGTCCAGCCTATAGCCGGAAGCATGGCTACATATCAAACGAAACTTTGAAGATGTTCAGTTGCAAGACTTAAAGTGAATTTGCATTTGCCTAAATCACAGGAGGAAGCAACTCCTCTTGCTCTTTTCCATTTTATATTCTAGGAGGAGTTCATGTAAACAGCACATGCTGTAGTAGATGAAGTAAAAATACTAATACTGTTTGACTCACAGACACGACTCCAGGAACATGTTTTCAGAATATCTTCATATCTGTATGCTATGTCTGTGATTGCTTTGGTTTACTCATTTTCACTAAAGAGATCTGAAATATTGCAGGGATGTGGGAGTTCCCTGTACATCTTGCAACAAGAAGTAGAAGCAGTCGGACAAATTCAGAAGCTGTTTCCAAATTTTACTTCTGTTGCCATATACAATGATGAAGCAGATCCAATGGTTGGATGGTCCATTCCACAACTGTGGCGAGCTGATGTGACCTATGCAGCTATGGTAGTAAAGGTAACTCAGTTCATTGACAGTCTTGTCGTAGTAGGGTCTCCTGGTGCATTAATGCAGTTGGAAACGTAGACTTACAGTCAGTTTTTAAGCAGCTGCTCAGAATAACAGAACCAGCAAAAGGAGACCTACCTACTGATACAGCTATGTTTCCCTGAAGAGTCTGTTTTCAATACCTTTGTATAGTTTGTTTAGTTTAGTTTGTTGTTTTTTTCATCTTTCCTTTAAAAAAAACAGCAACTGAGAACTAAACTTCCATGTATTGAAAAACGTCAGATATTGTATGCAGTCCCCTAGTTAGATCCACCTCATAAGACTATACCCTCACATCCTCTATTGATGTAATACTATGCTGTCACCTCGCTACTGCCAGCTATAAACTCACTTATGGGAGACGTTGTTTACCAGCTCCTTCGTAAGTTTATCTTATCAAGACACATCAGGTATAATTAAGAAGTCCTTTGAGCTCTCAGCATAAACCCATTCTTTGTTTTTGGATAATGACTGTACATGTGGTTTTATTAATTACTGCTAGTAACTACTGCTGTTGATCATAAAAACGGAAGAAAGGCATGCTCAGCATTTCTGCCCATGCAGGAATTGTAGTCTGGCCCCAGAGCAACCCCAGCTCTTGCCTCTGCATAGCAATAGTTCCCGCTGCAGTCCTGTTGGCTTGTGAACCACTACCTTATACAGTACCCAGAGTCCAGATGCTCCTGTGCAGAGTAGTAATTCCCAAACCTGGAGCGTGTACGTCACCCAGAAGCCAAATATGTCCAATCAGCTGCTTCTGTGGAGATGAAGCTTCCCAGCTCCCTTAGACTGCATATAGAAGCCTTCTTCTAAAAAAGCAACAAGCCACTGGCTGCATTGCAGGGAGTCTGTGAGAGCAAACGGCAGTGTTTGTAATGACATAGTGATATGAAGGGAGAAATAAAAGGCCCATCTGATGGAAAGTTAACACTTGGGTGGATAGGAACTGGAGCCCTGTGTTCCTGCAGGGACAGAATTATGAGATGTTTTCAGTTAACAGCTTTCTGAAGTTCTGTTTGATTTTGATACTTGGGCACAATCTGGTTAACAGAGAGCTTGGGAGCTCTGACAGTTTACATGGAGGCAGCACAGCAGTCATTCAAATACTGGAAGAGCTAATGCTGTTTTAGCACTGAGTGGGCAAAATGACTCATTGAGGAACAGAATCCAGGAACAGTTCCCAGACACTTGTGTAATGGGTACAAAGTAACTCTAGAGTTGGTGAATCGTTAAGATATAATTGAGAGGGTAAATCAAGATGAATAATTTAATATTCAAGACAGAGGAGATATAGCCAAGGAAATATATTCGGAAATATGTTTATAATTTATGCAGAGTACTAGTGGTAGTTATTTTAGAGACTCTACTGGGGAAACTGTGTGGATACTTTAAGTTTTCCAGTATTGTGGGGAACAGTTTAGTTCTTCAAACTTTCCTAAATGGCAGAGCGACAGCTCTTTTCAACCTGCTCTAAAGACTTAAAAAAATACAGACATTGTGTGTTGGATTTTCTCCAGGATGAAGTTCCATCTTCTCTGTGACTTTGCAGGTAATCATCCAGCATCAAAACCTGCTCATTTCCAAAGCCAATAACACCATCAACTACACACTGCTGAGTAATGACAATGCCTTCTTGAGCTACTATCCCCATTACTTCACACAGCGAACTCTGACAGCTCGTTTTCAGATGAACAATACAAAGCCACCTCACGTCCAGATGGTGCGGAAACCAGTGCTCACTGTCATGGGCTTGCTGGCACTGCTAGGTATATTAACCACTCTTTTAATGAGGAGATCAAGAACCTCTTCTACCTAGAAGCTTCATGCCTAAGAGAGGTTATTCCAGCCATCTCACCACTGATAAAAGCAGAATTTCTTCTACCCTCTGTTTACCAGCTGCGCTAAGAAAGTGAAACTTCATTTACTCTGAGAAATCAGTAGCTCAGGAGATGTTCCTGACAGTCTGTTATCCATCTGCTTTTATTTACTGCTTTGTTTATACCCTTTGTACACCAGCCACTCCTATTTTATTGACTGGTATTTCCCTCCTGTGACATCACATCAGGCTGCAAGTGTCTTTAAGAAGTCCTCACAGGCAGAAGATCCAAGCAGCATAATAAAGGGAGAGAGATAGTTTTTTTCAGCCTGGAGAAGAGAAGGGAGACCTTATAGCAGCCTGCTAGTACCTGAAGGGGGCCTACAGGAAAGCTGGGGAGGCACTGCTCACAAGAGTGTGTAGCTACAGGACTAGGGCCAATGGTTTTAAACCAGAGCAGGGTAGATTTAGATTAAATGTTAGGAAGAAGTTCTTTACAATGAGGATGGTGAAATGCTGGCACAGGTTGCCCAGAGAGGTGGTGGAGGCCCCAGCCCTGAAGACATTCAAGGTCAGGCTTGATGGGGCTCTGAGCATCCTGATGTAGTTAAAGATATACCTGCTCACTGCAGTGGTTTGGACTAGAAAACCTTTAAAGGTCCCTTCCAACCCAACTGATTCTATGATTCTGTGATTCTATGATTCTGTGATTAAGATTCTAAGCACTAATGTGCTTAGATGTTGCTAGCTGAACTGCTAAGTGCAAGAACTCCTGTATTATGTGCATGCTCTGCCCAATTGAATGCTATACGTGGCTAGAACATAGCTATACCTGTAGACACACAATGTTTTGACCCTTTCTGTATCAGAAGTTGATGGAATACTGACTGCCTATGGAATTGTCACATATTTTTAAGGAGAAAACCAGATTTTTGCAGAAGTGATTGGCAGTGAAGATGAAAGCACTCACAATGACACTGTTGGTGTCCTGGCATCTGTGCACACCCCAAATGAGATGCAGCCCTCAGACAGTTGGCAAGCTACTCTGCTGATGTATTCAAGTGCGGATAACAGGACTTCATCCAACATCAGCACCGTCACGGTGAATGCTACCCACTTCCCCAAACTTAGAGGTAAGCAAACATCTAGTTGGCAGCTCACATAACTGATCTTTAGGACACTTCTGGGTTGCATTTATTTGCAAGATTGAGTTTCATTTGCTAATGTTCCTGTCTGAGATATGATGGTGCTCTTCTAGGAAAGATTATTTTCTAATGCCTGCACTTTGACCTTGCCTTTAATGGTGACTGCACGCCCTGCCTTTTTGGAAAGCTATTAATCTCAGTGTCCTTGGCTCGATATTGCCAAACAACAGTTTCCTTACTGGGATGACTACAAGACAACCAACATGACCACATGATTACACAATCGATGCAGTTGTCCAACAAATGTATGCAGCACCTGTGCAAGAAATAAGAGGGTTTCAGTTCTTAGCAATTATAAATTGGAGAGCCTTGTAAGAGTGCTGGCCTCATGACTTTCCAGTGGAAGCCATGCTCCAGAGTGCTGAAATCAATTCTGAGAAGTTAAACATTTTGTGCTAAGTTTATTCTTGTTAATCTTTAAATCCAAGTAAAGAGTTTAATCTCTTTCATTTGTTCTCCTAAAGAGCTGGTGTATGTGACGTATTACCTGGATAACAACCAAACCAATCCCTACCTGAAGTGGAAAAAGCTAGGAAGCCCTGACTTTCCTTCCCCTGATCAGTTCCAGCAAATAAGGGATGCTGAGGTATGACTATGTGTTTCCTTGAGGTGTTGTGTCGGCAAAGTGCTTGTAAATTGGTTAACTACAGCTAAAGAGACAAGAATCCAGCTCAGGTAGTCAAAATTTTCTTAGCCAACAGCCATGCACATCTCGTGTACATATGAAAATTCACTTGCCGTCATGCAGAGAAGTGTAGCAGATACCTTTGCATTTATGTTATACAAGAAACTAAATGTAGACAACCAACTTCTTTGCCACTGGCCTGGCTCTAACTAAGGAGGCAGAGTTGCTCCAGAACAAGTTACACCTTCGCTCTGAAACGTTAGTGAGCTTTGAGACCCTTTCTGTTTTTTCTTCCCTAGATAAGTCACATGGTCCTGCATATATTGCAGAAGGGCCAAATTGCTGCATTAGAGAGTTGAAATGAACCTCCCTGATTAACAGAAAACAAGCGGTGGAAACTACCCAGTGCAAGTTTGGAAAGCGCTTGGCATCTCACAGGGAGCCAGAGGGAGGCCTGCAGTTTCCCCTCATCCTCACCCATTAGTGGAGGCCTTGTCAGTGTTGGGTTAATGATTGGACTCAATGATCTTAAAGGTCTTTTCCAATCCAGGCAATTCTGTGATTCTGTGAAAGCACCCCAGAGGACACTGAGGAGAAAGTCCACTGTGAGCAGTCCTGTCCTTTCTACTGACAAAAGCCATGCCCAGATTACTTACTGTACATGAAAATACGTAAGCAGCCTGTCACTTTAGCACCCTTTTCCCAGAGACCGTCTTTATCCCCTTTGGGCCCCACAGACAGTGATTGCCTTCTGGCTTTGGTGTACAGTACTGTGTCTTCTCTTCCCAGTCACCGTAACGCACTGTTAATAAGGCCTGTGGGATGCTGTAGGAGCCATCAGATCTTCCTTCAACTGAAACAATATTTTTGATACTCTTGACCATCTGGTCTCATTCGCAGAGACCAGCTGAGTGGGTGTTGTATCTAGCAATAGCTTTCACTGCACACTGGCTAAGAGATGGATGTGGTTTGTAAGGACCTCTAGCCTGAAAGGCATCCATGGAAGGTTACCGGAAGTGACATATTGCACCTAGAGTGTATTCTTGTTCAATGCAGTTTGTGAGATGGACAAACCCTCTGTTTCCTGAAGAGCTGGAAAACTGTTGAGATAGAAAAGTTTTCCAGCCTCAAGAACTTTGATGGCTGTAAGCGACCTAGCAGCAGCAGCTCTGTTGGAAATGTATAGTCCCAAAGTAACTCCATGGTCCCTTTACACTGATGTTACAGTTAGCTTTTAGGTGCTGTAATGAAAGGTTATTTACAACACTTCTCTCTGGCTCCACAGGACCCAGTCGCAACAGGCCCATTCCCATTTCCTGAAGGTGGCATCCTGACACTGAAGCAAGACTTGCCTGTTCCCTCAGTCTTTCTTATCCACATCTGTGCAAGACCCAGATCTGTTCCTGATCAGGTATATGTTGTATTCTACTGTCAGACTCACCAAATTAGAAATGCTTCCTGCTTTAAGTCTCAGTAAGAAGAGCTGGACTAGCATTTGGGTCTATTATTTGTCAAAAGTAACATGTAAGACTTACTAAATAAGCAGTGGTTCTCTCCTTCGATGAGAAGGCTCATCAAAGGAAATGAAAGATAGAGCATTCTACAGCAAGTGAATAGGAACCATCACTGAGATAAATGTAAGTTTCTCCATGGTGGGAAAATAATAATAATGCAGTACTGGAAAGTGCAGTCACTTTTTTAAAATCACATAATGTGCTACCAGGCTTGACAACAGCTCTCCAGTTAGTAATTGATAGCTAAAAATAAAACAGTATAAGGGCTGTTGTAGATTAGATTGCATATTCAGTCCCTCCCATGTTCATAGTGGTGCCCAGACCCTCTAAAGACCCTATGCAAGGTTAACAGTCTGGAGGCATAGGAAACAAAACCACAGAGCCAGGCATTTTATGTTTTCTCTTCAGTCTCAATGGAAAGGATCAAAGCAAATAATTAGTAAGGAATGATAAACATAGAAATCTGATTGCTTTGTATAGTTTTCTTATATGAGTTTGTGTCTTTGGACAGGTGACTGGTGTTCGTTTGATCCCCCTCACAAAGGGTCAGGTCCTCGTGCTGTGGGACGATGACTGTGTAAATTCAAAGTAAGTAGCTTTTAAAGAAAAATGGGTAGAACAGAGTTACCAGCACACTGCTCCCCGAACTGCAGATGAGTTCACCAATTAATGACTACTTACTCCTTGAGAGATGCTTCAGTGTATTTGTCTGACGAAATGAACTGTGGTACCTACATGCAGTAAGTAGGGAGAGCAACTCTGACTAATGTGCATCTGAGCAAGGGAATCTGCCTGTTGCTCACCATCATCCAATGGCATTTTTGAGGGACTTGCCTTCAGCACAGCAGACAGGAAGATCCATGGTAAAAGTTATATTAGCAGCAGGTGCCTAGATGGGATCTTGCACATCCCTGTAAAGGATGTGAGCTGGAAGTCTAAGTGTTCGTCTGTGGGATGTTGGAGCCCACAGTATTGGTTCTTCCTAATACTGACAATTCATGCTATCCCACATGTGGTAGAAATGTGTCAGCTGAGCATTTCCTATTCTTGGCTGTCTTTGGTGAAATTACCTTGATACTAGGATTTAATTGCTCACCGCATTGTCAGTTGTATTTACGGAGCTGTCTAGTTTACTTTTCTAGATGTGTAAAGACATTTGAAGTGGAATTTTCACCAGATGGAAAAGCATACAAGCGGATTAATGCCAAAGACACAATATTCACTCTCTGGGTCTACAGTCCAGGTAAGGAAAGAATATACATACAACGTAATCCATCACAGTGATAGTTCCGCTCATGAGTGTGTGAAACAACATTTAATAACTACTGAAGGTATATAGCTTGCTAGTGACATATACTCCCATCACAAATAAGAGCACATCCCTTTCTTTAGAACCAAGTTTTCAGTGAAAGCCTTGTTCTCGAGGACAAGTGCTAATTCACAAACAATTGTGAGGACATTATTACTAGTATTGCCATCAGAAAATTCCTTGTCACAGAAAACAAAGTCGCACAACTGTAGGCATGGCAAGCTCCCTGATAGGGAAATCAGCACTTTTGTCTCTATTTGTAGCTGATGTAGAAGCATGCAAAAATGAGAACAACAACAACAAAAAAAAGAAGAAAAAATTAGAAGAAAAACTAGGTAACCAGGCCTTGTTGTTTGCAGCAAGTCTAAGGTTTGGGATCAATCCCGCAGGTATTGGCTATGGCTTTGCCTAAATTTGTCCAACGTGGTAAGGCAGTAGGAACAAACTGACATGGTAACACTCATTTTTTACCACTGAGTCTTGAAGTGTTAGACTGCACAAGTACATGGCATCAACACACAGATAAGTGTGATGTCACATCCACCTTTCATAGAGGGGTTGGTTTTCTTGCATTTATTGTGTTCTGAGCTGCTCCAGGGGAAGGTCGCAGTTCTGCTCTCATCGTGGTCACATCCCTGTTCCCATATCCTTTTATGGCTTGGCAATCCTAAGCTGTTGAGGTGCTCCCTTGTAAGAACAGAAGAGGTTGTCCTGTGAGACTGTTTGTCCTGTCTATCTGAACACCTAGCTGAGGAGAGACCCCTCTCTTTGCTGTTTCCCAGAGCTTTCTCTTTGGCCCTGACTAGCTACCTAAGCTTTATATGTTTCTCATTAGAAGGCAGTGAGTTTCATCTTTGTCAACAGGCAAAGCTTCTCCCAGAGCCTGTGGTCTTTTCTCCTCGAGTACAGACTAGATGTAATAGGAACATACGCAGATGAAAAACGGTGAGAGAACGGGGTGACATTGTTGGTTTTGAGGCTTTTTTAACCAAATGTGGTCTAATTTGCAACATGACTGTTCAACAAGTATTACTAATAAGCAGTCATCAGAGCCTTGTGAAACACAGACTTTACCTCAAAGTGATACTAATGAAGTGCAATTCAGAGAGATTTTTGCAGAAACAGAGGCTCATCTTAGCCTTAGAAAGGCTTAGCATCAGCAGTTAATGCATAATAAAGTTCAGAGCTATTATTGCAATGTAAAAGCTACACAGGTAAGCAAAGACTAAATCATGGCTAGGGTAAATCTCTGAAATTAGGATTGGTTATCATCTAGTGCTGCATATTTGTGAAATCTACCAGATTTAACTGTTTGTTTCAAAGACAAGAAAAAAAGACTGCTTGAAAAAAATCTCACATCCAGCAGCCTTTATTGCTAGGTATTTGTCACTCATTATTTCTAGTATTCATTTATTTTTAGAAGAAAATAATACTAAAGCACACATAAAAATCAAGTAAATAGATGAGAAAAAGCTGTGAAGTTAAAGACTTTGCTAGTCAAGTCTGTGTTCTTTGAGCTGGATTGACGGCGAAAACTAGCAGAACCGCAGAACATCAACTCACATACCTTTGGAGCAAGTGGTGCTGCTTCCCGAGTTGAGCAAAGCGTTTTCAGTCAGCCTGCATGCTTCTTGTTCTGCTTCTTTGCTGATCGTGTCCCCATATAGCCTGTTTCAAAGGCACAATTCAGGCAGAAAAGTCAGAAAAAAGGAAATTACTAGCTGCAGAGAATGTCATAGCCTTCTTTGAGAGGGACTGCTGGGACAGCAGTCCTGTAGCTGTACTTGCAGATCCTAATGAGGAGAGAGGAGGTCCTTGGTGCAATAAAGAAGAAGAGCCAGTACTTTACCATGAGGAATTTATAACAATTTGTAGACAGACAAGTACAGACAGACTTATATAGGATGCAGAACTGATTTCACCACTTCCCCAGCCCATTCTGCAAACCTGTGTTTTATTGGAGTAGTGCTTGTTCCACATCCTTCAAGCACCACAGGTGTGAGCCTTTCACATTCTAACCTTTTCGTTTGCAGGAAGCTCAGTCTCCGGCTTTTACAGAGTGCGTGCCATTGACTACTGGGGGAAGGCAGGCCTGTCTTCTCTTCCTGTGGAGTATGTTGAAGCTTTCAAGTAACTCTGAAGAGTGGTGTCTGGCTTCTTGGCTGAGTAGTGTATGTTCCCTGTAAATTACAACTCCTCAGAAAAATAAGCTCCTCCCATGCTGAGGAGGGAGCACTGAGAAGACCTCATGAAGCAAGTTAGGAATGCAAGTTAGAAGCAAATGTCCCTATTAACTCTTCAGAGCTCAAAAGACATCGTTATCAAGCAGCCATGCTGACAACTCAACTGGTAGAATTCTAAGAGGCTGCTGTAAAACTGAGATTCAGCTTGGTACCTAGGAATTATGGGAATAAATGCTGAGTATTCCCTGTTTTCCACTGAGCTAATGACCAGGACAACCAAAATTTTACAGAGGACACAGGTTGCAGGAGGAAGAGAACCTTCACTTTACTGTGTGAGTGAGGTTGTCAGCAAAGGCATACCGAGGACCTGTCTAAGAGTGAATTGCCTGCCTCAGCTGTCATGCTCTCTTGACATAATGTTTTGACAGAAAAGCTCACAGCAGCCAGACAGGTCCAGAGCATGAAGTGAAGTATCCTTGCTTTCCCACCTGTTAGTCACAGACGCACTGGTGGGTTGTTTCAGAGCACTTGCCATGTCTTCAGATGCATGAGGTTCTTCAGCCTTTCACAGATGGGTTTCCACTGAGCTCCCTCTGGATTTGTGGATCTGTGGCTCTTACCTGGATGCCAGAGTGATTCCTGTCACACTGACTGAGGAAAGGATAGCCGCTCATCCTCACAGAGGAAGAAGACACAGGAAGCTCTAGCCTCCAGGCTTGCCTGCCTTTTCTGCTTTCTGCTTCTGCCCACGTCACCTGTTTGCACTGTGGTCATCAGCCACTGCCTCTTTGTGGTGGAGGCTCTAACCCAGAAATCCTCTCTTTCTCTCCATTGCTGTCACCCGGCCTGGCTTTCTACAGCTCTTACAGCTAATGCCTCTCCCAAGCATGCCTCATCTCTTGGACTGTAAGTGACCTGAGGCCTGGCTTTGGGAGGACAGGAAAATGCTGAACTGCTAGTTAGTGCCTTATGTATTTTCGTGTTGCAGGAGAGCACACTCTTGAATGTAACAGAGCTTCTAGTTAACAACCAGGTAGGAAATTAACCAAGAACAGTTTGAGCTTCTGTGCTTTGCAAAGCATATGCACAAGTGTGTGTGATAGCCTCAGATCGTGAGCCGCAGAGGACCTCTGGCTGTCCTTGCAGCTGCCAAACACTTTATGTAACAGCAAAGTTCCTTGAAATTGCAGGGGTGTTTTTTTACTCTCTCCTTTTCGCAACTGGCACAGTTTGAACTGTGCCTTTAAAATGCTTGTAGAGGGATGGATAATGCCAGTGAAAACAGCTGGAGTGTTTTCCATAAGAGGAGCAACTTTGTCGAACAAACAAATCCCCTACTGCTCTTTTTAATGACATCAGCCACCTCACCAACATAACATATTTGATGAAACGTTCAGGTCTCAGACAAAAAAAACAAGTTTGCACAGTAGGAGAGAGCTGAACTACCTCAAATGGCCTCCCTTTTACAGCACAGAAAAAAAACATATACAAAAAGTCAGTGTATATGAGATGAGGCCTTTTATCTCTTTAGCTTCTCGTTACTTGTTCATATGCTTGTGCTGAAAGTTGGCCTTACAGAGCTCAGATGAAATATTTGTTACCTCACTGAAGTTTGAATAAAGAGTGCTTGTCATATCCTAATCTGCCAATCCCTTGCCCATAAAAGCTTGTGCAGAACAGAAAAGGGCCATTGGAGCCCACTTAATTTCAGAAAAGTTAGTCAGAAGTTCTGCTTTGGTGGAGATAGTAAAAATACATTTCAAAGTTGTTATGACTGCCTCTAAGCAAAGAATCAGAGTACACAGTTAAATAAAACCAAAACAGATTGTTTTGCCAGTATGAAGTGAAACCACAAGAAAAATTACTTTTGAAAATATTCAAGTGTAGATCCTTGAGAGGTTTTGGTGCATCTGAAGCAGGGGAAGATAGAGGAGCTTGAGAGTTTACCCGGTTAGGATGTCCTAGCCTTCTGCTTTAAAATTTTCACACGCTAGCCATCACAATATAGCAGTCTTTATCAAATCCAGCACCAGGCACTACTTGCAGGCATTTGAAAAAATAAGGAAGCATAGCTATCATGAAGTGTATTGATTCTGCCATGCAGAGATACAGTAGAAGATGTATAGGTGTGCAGATCATGAAAAACAGATAAAAAATTACTGCCTTGCTTTATTTAGCAGACAAACTTAAATTATGCCTCAAACTTAAATTATGCCTCAAACTCGGAAGCAAATGATGCAGAGCTGATGAGTTTTGGTGGCGTGTTTGGGATTTAGTCTTTCACTGTATTGGAGTGTGTACCTATGGCAAGTTATCATATTTTATAAGATTTTAGACTGGGAGTTTTGCTGGCCCAGGATTTTTGCCTCTCAGCAGTGACAGACATGAGGCTTACAGCTACTTCTTTGAAGTGGTTTGTAATTCTCATGCTTGTTAAAAAGCAAAGTAAGAGTGCTTTTTGCTCTATAGTTTCAAGGTAAAATTTCATGCGTTATTGTTTTGCTTACTGAAGCCGCACAAGAGCAGAAGTTTTATTTGCATGGGCAGAGCTTACCATGTTGTAGATTCAAATAAATTGGAGTTTCTTAGGGTGAAGTCCAGCCACTTTGAAAATCTGTTACTAGGTCTCTCTTTTAGGGATTTTACATTAAACATCATCCAGTACTTTTTCAGGTATTTTCCTGGCTGTGGCAAATATGCATGGAAAGCAGGACTGACCAAAGATGATGCGTTGTCTGTTCAGAAATGAATTTTGAATATTCAGCAAGATTTTTTTTTCTTGGTCTTTGCTGCTTTGGTATAAACTTAGTCCTTTAAGCAATGAGTGAGTCTAAACAATTGCAGCAGAGAAGAAAATTTGGTGTTTCCAGGCTTGAATTTGTTTCCAACAAAGCATATATGCCGTTGTCTTTTTTATAATTTAATGTCTACTGGAAAATCCTATTTAATACTTGTCTCTTGAGTTTTTCTGAAACCATCTGCTTCTGACTCTTATCTTCCAAAATTGCATGTTAAACTGTACCATCTCCTCTGTTACCAGGCAGTTATAAGCCCCCCGTCACAGTTTAGTTTTCAGAATTGCCAGATGTGCATAGCACTAAGTGGGAGTTGCAGGTGCTTAGTAGTTCTGTAGCATCAAAACCAAAGCAAGGCTGTCTCCTGTTGGCCGTAAATTCAAACAGGAAAATCTAACTACACCTGCAAGATGAGGTTGTTTGCATTCTTCACGCAAAAGCTTCTGGGGCTATGTAGGAGTTTTGCAACTGTGTGTTAAAATTAATGCTGGGGAAAAACATTTCAAAGGACTGTTTTATCTTATCTAATTGTGTATATACTGCATTTGTTACCATCTTCTGTGCTACCCAGTAAAACCAGTTTTTAGTCTTTCACATGAACTCTGTACAAACAGGATCTGGTCATTATGTTCTGGAAACTGCTTAAAACTCTTGTGTCAACAACTTAATCTAGGGAACCTGTTCTCAGGGTATGAAAGATAGCTTGATTGGTGCAAGTTCCAACATCACATAAAAATGACGCATGAAGGGAGTGTGACCATAAGAAATTTCAATGCTAAAGTAAAAACTTAAGTACCTACTTTGCTTCAGTTACCACAGCCCAGGTAAAACTGGTCAAACTCAACATGGTATCGTAGTGTCAGATCTCAAGACTTCGAGTGTCCTTGCTGTGAGGAGGTTCACTGATGTGTGAAGGACAATATCCTTGCAGCATTCCTCCTGCTGTTGCACAGTCACAGTCTTTCTGCCAGCACTAGAGGACCATCTGAGGACAAAACAACAGTCCTTTTCGTTCGTAAACAGCTTCTTCATTTCTCTTGTTAGTGGAAATTTTGTGCAGGACAAACATGAGAGTGTATGGGACTTAAACATGCGCTTAAACTCATGGTTCTCATCCGCCAGCTCGAACAGCAGACAAAAGTGTGTCTGCCACTAGGTACGCCCAAGATGTTTTATGCTGAGCTCAGTGAAGTAACTAATGTAAATCAGATCAGAATACTCTTATAGCTGCCTGCCCTACCCTACCTCATCTCTCACATTTCCTGCAGTCAATGAAGAGAAATGGGTATGAGCCAACACACATCTGTTTATTAACTCACCAGATCATATGATGAGGACCTGCGGGTGGTCGTGGTAGGACCATGTTCCCCTAGTTCCTCCAAGAACAGGGCAGAATCCTGGATCATATATAACTCCACGGCATATTCTCCCAGAATCATCACTATTTTCCTACGAACCTGGAGACAGAACCTTATGTAGCTGAGGAGGGATTTCACCACCTAACTCATCTGGACAGACTACCAAGCACAGTAAGGATGCACTTGGTCCTTCTTGCTGGGACTCCCATCTGCTCTGGTTGTACAGTTATAATTATAGATGTTAAAAGTCCCACTTCTCTAGGACTGGTAGTATTGCTCTGAATGTCCTGGCCAAAGGCCAGGCTCCTTCAGCTAAGGGTTAGTGCTGTCTAATCACTTGTAATTCAAGTCCAAAGTTCACAGATCTCCACCTCAATACTTCCTCCTGGGTGAACATAAAATCAATGCACTGACCTCGCACTTAGTCCAGCACAAGAGGCTGATATTTTTTCAACACTCAGTAGTCTCTATTTGTGTGGGCTTTTTTTGCCTGCTGCTGCTCTTCTGCTTCAGCCCTTAGTTTTAGATGGTAGTTCACCATCTTGTTTCTTATCAGGATAGTTTTCACTAGAACAGGAGAGCAAAGAACACCGTTATTTTACACTGTCTGAGAGTCTTAGGAGTCCCACCTGGAAATCCTATGAAACACAAGCTTGACAGACTTCCCTGAATCCCTGGGAAAATGTCATTTGGCCTTGGAGAAGACTGTTTAGTCCATGGTTTTTATGCTTCTTCCAACAGATGCAGTAGATAATCACTGGATACTGTAGCTAAATTTGTGTGACCATCTTGCAGAAACTGTTTTATAGTGTAGGGCACTGAAGGTCTTCACCCAGTATTAATGTTGTGCCACGTATCTTTTGAAGGCCTCAGGAGTGGGGGCTGTTCAGATTGGTCTTCTATCTGTAGTTGGTAATCATGATTTGTAAAAATTTGTGTTGCTGGCAAACTGCAAGATTCAGCAGGGTACTGGAAGTGTTCTGGACTGGTAGTTCTATTCATAGGAAGACTTCAAAGTGAGTGTGATTTAACTAAGAGCAGTGGGAAATAATGCTGACTTGCATTACCCTTTTTCTACATGGAGTTGTCTGGGTACTATTCTTTTGATTCCCTCTATCCTTGGCTGTAAAACCTGACAGTTCTATATCTTTCAGTTCTATACCTCTCAGATATTGGAGACAGAGTGATAAAGGCAGTGGGAAGTAAATTATTGCTTAGAAATGCTAGTAGTTGCTTGTTAAAAGCAATACCCCAGTGTTATTGAGAGAAACATCTGCTGTACTGCATTTGTGATCCAGGGTCTAGTCAAAATATGCTGTGCAGACTTTTGAGTATTCAGATGTACCAGAAATAATCATACGATATTACCAGGCAGCAAGGATCACACTGTCAGCCTTATCTCGGAGTTGTTGTTGAAGAGGATTTATTAGCTTTGCAATTTAAACAGGAGTGTTGGAAAGAGAGGCGTAGTTTGTATGCCAGGGTCCTGCAGACGCCCACTAGCCTTTGTTGCTTTGCAGCCTCACCTGTGACCTCCACCCACGTAATCCTTGCCTGTGGTCCACAAACCCCCTTCAGCTCAGCCCAAGGCCCTGCTCCCTAGGGACCCTTGCTGCAGGTGGCTCTCCCTCTGGCCTGCTCTCCAGTCCCATTCTTGCAGGAGCCACCTTGCAGGCATGCATGTGCCCCGTCCTGTGCCATGCCGCCCTTGCTGGCTGGAATTCCCAGGAGAACTCTGAACCTGTCCTGTGGTTCTGTCTGTCAGCTGTGTCAGGGGACCTGGCTCCTGTCATCACCCCTGGCCTCCTCCCTCTGCTGGATGCCAGGGAGGGACTCTGCTCCACCTGTGCTGGGGCCGCCCTTGGCTGCTGTCTCACCTCCCATCAGTGAGCAGCCCCACTCTTCGTGCTCCCTGATACAACAGCAGGTAACAAAAAGCAGTTCCAGAGGAGTTTTATTTAAAAACATTTATTGACAAATGCCACATTAGGTATCCCCTTGAAGATTAAAATATCAATACTGTATTGCACACAGTTTACAAAAATCCTATCATTTTCATGTGTTTTTCAGGGAAAACACACTAGTCCATACTATGTTTTTTATTAGCTGAGTGGCAACTTCAAGACCAAGAGGTCTGGCTTCTGTGCTTAGATGTAGGAGCAGAAGTGTACCTTTAGCAGGCTCCTGGAAATAAAGAAAAGTAAACTTTAGTCCTTACAAATAAATTTCCAAATTGCTTTAACAGACTTACAGTCTTCAGTGAAGCTGTAGCTGCAGCCTTCCTAGCGTAGTTCTGAATCACAGTGCAAGACTGGGATTGAGGGTTGCAAAAGCTGCTCTTTGCATCGCTCTGTCTCTGTTGGGAATAGCGCTTGTGCAGTCCTTGTTATTCCCAGCTAGCCATGAGTTTCCAGTTTACCTGAGCACCTAGGTGTGAGCTCCTGCAACAACTGCCCTCCCTCTTCTACAGCAAGCAATATGGAGGGGACGTGGGGCATACATGGATGCCCGTGCAAGCTTGGATGATGCCAGCACCTGCTCTGTAGTGGAGGACTGGCTCACACAACGATGTGCCATTTGGAAGCATTTAACTGCTATTTCTTGTCCAGCAGTGCAGAACATGTGTGTTTCCCCAGCCCAGGTCCTCACTCACACCTTTGTAAAGAGCCACTCTCCAGGCAAGGTAGTGTGCATGTGAAGAGTGGCAGAAAAGAAGAGTTTGTGCTTCTTGTATAGATCTAAAATATCATCTCTCCATCTCAGGGACAGCATATGAGCTAGAAGATCAGCTGTCATGCCTCCAGAAAAAAAAGCTCTCTCAAAATGGGCTTTAGCCATGCTCTGTTCGTGTATGTGGCACAACTGCTGACTCGCACTGTCAGCAGGCACAGTCAGAGCTCCTGGTCTCTACTATGCAGACCACCCAGGACATAAATCAGGATGGAACTAAAAAGAGTGAGGGTGCTCCTTCCTGGAGGCAGCTTCTCCGCCTTTCCTGGAGGACAGTGCACAGACCTAAGGTAAGATGCTGTTACCCAAGCAGCTTAGACAAGCGTTTCTAAGTGCGGAAATACCAAGTTGTTACACCTGTCCCTATCCTATCTCTTAGAGCAACAAAGCGGATCTTCCTGTGGTAGCGTGCCATTTTCAGCACACAGGGTTCCTTTGAGGGCAAACTTAAGGCTGCAGAACCACCTCATAACAGGCTCTCTCTCCCTTGCATGGATTTTGCTTTGCAGCTATTTTCTTATTATATATGACATTTTTTAAATGTTGCTAAAGAGTAGAAATTGATTTGCTATGGTTCTGTCACATTTACAGCAAATACAATCACCTACTCTACGAGCTGCCAGCGCAGCCATTTCAGTGAATTTGCTAATGAGCTCGAAGTACCTGACTGAAGCACAGGCTGGAACTGGCCAGACATGCAGATTTCTTCCTGCTTCTGACGCACGATGCGCTGAATGGCTGGGGGGAGGCCACGGGGATTGCGTGAGAAGATGAGGGAGTAGCCATCATCACAGGAGCCATCCTCCTTCAGACTGCGGCAGGCATAGGTAATGGCATAGTTATCATAGTCAGTGTCAATCACCCAGTAGTTGTCCCCTGAAACATCAGAACACACGTGTTTGTCACAGTGGGCAAAACGGAGTAGAGGTGGGCACAGTTGTCCTGTAGGGAGACGCCTCACTTCAGTACATGGCAGGGATAATTTCACAAGGGATCTGAAGTCACCTCCCACTTCCAGTTTTTCTCTGTACCATGAAGTGGAGAATTGCAACAAGCACTGGGTGTCCTGAGACCGTATTGTTCCCAATGATGCTGAATGCATTTTCACCTTTGGTGTATTAGGCTGGAAGTATTAGGAGGTCTAAGACTTTCAAGATTGTCAGTGACAAAAAATCGCTTTATATTTCTTGCTCAAGCATGGCGGAGTGGCCCTACAGATTAAATTTCGCCATACAGATTAAATTTCCTGTACAAGAAGCCTCAGCAAAACATGCGTCCTCTTTTCCAGCCTTGCTTAACTGAGTGCATTTTGGTGTGGTTTGCCAGTACTGAGTGAATGTATCTTTTTCTTATGCACTAGCAAGCCAAGTCCTGTCCTGCTTCTACAGCTGGAGTCCCACAGCTATGGGAGACTCTGGCACAAAGTGTGGGGTGTGTAGGCTGCAGAACTGAGGTTCTGCATGAGCAGTTTCTGCAAAGGGACTTCAGGTAACAGCTCTGGTTTTTTGGGTCCAGTCACTTCTGGCTGAGGAGAATTGTGCCTTGCTGCAGGAGTGCAGACATAGGTCCACATGTTGCCTCCCATTAGCTATGAGGGATACAAGGATAACTGACCCTCAGCAACTTTATAATGCCCACTGCCAGGTCCAGGAAGTACTGCTTCCCTAGATTCAGCACCCCATATGACTCTACAAAATCTATATGTGTGGCCCTTTGCCTCTAAGCTGCATCCTCCCTGTTAATAGATGATGTCTCTGGGTAGTCTATGAGTCCAGCTCCTTCCTTGGAGATGAAAAGCACTGCTTGGTAAAGCATCCCTCCACAAAAGGATGCTTTATTTTCACTTCAAGCGGTCTGAGCTCAACAGTTTTTCCTGCTCATATACTGAAACACACAAATCTGGGCAGCTCTAAGCTATCAGCCAGCACTGAGGGGCTGCAGAAGTTCACTCACCACCGCTGGACAGGTAGCTGGCCAGGCCCTGGTAGGTCATGTACATTTTTGCTGGAGTGGTTGGGTCAGGTACTGTGTACTGAGCAGCCATGTCAGCACAGATCACCCAGAACCTGCAAAGAGATCCGTGAGATTGAAGGTAAAATCTTGAGGTGTATGAACTTCAAATGGGTGTCCCTCACCCAGGAGTCAGGCAAGAACCAGGCGAAAGTTCAGCACAACTGTCTCAGGCACAGGCACAGCCTTTTTTAGAGCAAAGTCACGGTTCATTGTTAAGTAATTGAGATCTGTGATATCCATGCCCCATCGCTGACAGTGCATCGCTGCTGTCTGATCCCCACTTCTGCTGAGAACTGCGCTGTGGCTGGGGCAGTGCCCTGACCCTCCTTCTCTCTAACTCTTGACGCTTCTCTCACAAATGCTTCCTAGATGTATTGGAACAGGGTCATCTGTTACAAGCACAGGACACAGCTACTCTGCTGTCAAAGCTAGTTAAAGGCCTTCACACAGGTGGTCGGAACAGCCTATATTCATCACATGTTTCTTCTAATGCCTTATTCTGGTTGGGATCTGTTTGCTTTGAATATGGTCTGCGCCTTAGCACAGTTTGTCAAACCTTACCTGGGTTTGTGAAACACTGGAAAGGTCTTCATTCCCTTCATTGCATAGTCCATGTTTCTTCTTTACCCTGCCCTTGCAGAAATAAATTCCTGGCAGCCTTAATTTCTGAAGAGTCCTTTCAGGAATCTTCCCACCTGCACTGTGTGGCATGCCTGCAAAGCTTAATTTGCCCCATTCCAAAATATCTTGGAGTGCCCTGCTAAGAATTACAAGATTCATAGCCACCTGCTCTGCTCTATTATTCGTGCAGTTAGACAGTTTTCTGTAGTTAATGCACAACAGAACTGGTAGCCTACTGAAAGCCTCAGGTTTTCTTTTCGACGTGCAGACAGGTATCTAATCCTTTTAGATGCTGTAATTCCTTTTGGTAACCGTGACCGACAGGCAAAACCCTTAAGCTTCCTTCCATCTGTCTATTCAGGCATTGCAGTGGCATTCAAGAGTTAACCATGTTTTCCTCAGAAGTCCGTCCGACACTGAAATATCTCTGAAAGCAATACTCAGTTACAGTCCTCTCCTTCCCCTGAACCTCTTGGTGAAATAAAAACTGTCCTGCCATCACAGTCCTACAGGCTTCTCTCACTCGATTCCATTTCATTTACCTAACCACTCCATCATTCAAGATTTGACTTTAAAATTGACTTTATGCAGTAGTTTTCTAAAGGACCTAGAACAGAGCCAGACTAAGAAGTAACCCAGGACTCTGGAGTATCTAACCTCTGGCTTCTGTAACCATGATCGAGCTTCCCTTTTTGATGAAGAAAACCAGTCATGTTGTGTACTCAGGATAGATCTCTATCCATGTCCCCCTTCTCAAGTACCTCATGGCAGCAGCTACTGCTCAAAGTCAGGAGAGCTCACCCAAAAAGCTTCACTCGGCCTTTGGAGGATGCTGTCATTGTCCCATCTTCCTCCACAGTGTATTCAGCAGAGATGTTGTCCTGAAGGAAGAGGCCTTCTGGATCCTTCTTGGCAAGGGCATACCACTTCCCTGCATACTAACATGAAAGACTATTAATACCCGTATTTATCACCATGGCAAGATTAGCACAACAGCATTTATTCTAAACATAGGGCCGTCTTAACTACGCATTGCCTGGCCTATAAAGTCTGAGTTTGGGTGGGTATATAGCACACAGGCCCTGCTATGCCACCTGGTGAACCCTTGCCTCTGTGTCAGGAAGAGTGGGTCTAGCAGCTCTGCTACATGTACTCATTGTCAAGTGAGACATTCCTGTCACAATGAGCCCACTGGAATCTTCACCCATCTCAAGATGCCTACTGGGAATCAGGCTGGTTCTTCTCTGTTCCTGTTATTCAGTGAAGCTAATGAGATCTGTTTGGCAAGTTACAGGCTTAAGCCTGAAACAGAGTCCGTAATTCCCAAATACAGCAGCCTGAGAAAAACTGACATTTTAAGACTGGGATTTTCCCAAAACTCTACCCAGACATGGATGTATTTCCAGCAAAGACAATCTTGAACAGAGGAAATGCTAACCCCACCCCAGCTGCAGCTGGAAATGACGTTTGTTGAGGGACAGTCAAAACAGGTACAGACACTTCCCAACACCAAGTTAGCTCTGCTGCTCAGAGGCCAGTGGATTAAATGCTGTGCTTAAATAAGAGTCAGTTTGTGTTCAGGATACCTGACTAGATAAATCATTTTCAGTTTACTATGACTCCCAAAAATGACTGGTCATGGATGCACATCAGGGCATGTGTTTGGGCTTTCTTTCTGATGGGGTTCTAAATTGTTTTGTTCGTGAGACTACTCAAAGCTGATTTCTGTACTGATCTTCGAACCAGCAGAAGGTGAAGATGATATCTAGAGGAATAACATCCCTGACTTTCAAGGCCAGTTTTACCATAATGGTCAGAAGGTTAAACAGTAGTGAGAAAAGCAAGCAACAGGAATAGTGTCTGAGAGACAGCATACAGTCAATTCTTTTGTGAGGAACCTCCTTAGATAAATACATCCCACAGAAGAAGTTTATATATGAAGCTTCTTCATATATACTGTTGAGATACTTTATATATACTGTTGAAGTAACTGAAGAATATAGGTTTAGACTAGATAAAAGGAGGAAGTTGTTTACCCTGAGGGTGGTGAGGCACTGGAACAGGTTGCCCAGGGAGGCTGTGGATGCTTCATCCCTGGAAGTTTTTAAGGCCAGGCTGGATGGAGCACTGAGCAACCTGATCTAGTGGGAAATGTCCCTGCCACGGCAGAGGGGTTGGAACTAGATGATCTTTGAGGTCTCTTTGAACCCAAATTATTCTATGATTCCATGATTCTATGATTCTATGATTCTATGGTAATTACCCTTTTTGGATCAAAATTGTCTTTCACAGAGAAAGACTCCACTGCACAGGTCTGTGCCAGGCTATGTTCAACAGTGGAGAAGACCGAGGCCAGGAAAACATACTGAGCGTATTTCATTCTGCAAGACAAAAGCAAATGTGGAGTTTTATTTCATGCAGTAGACATGGGCAGTTAGTGCTGTGCCTACAGACACATTCCTCTCTTTGTAAAACTAGGTTTTTTTCCATGCTGAGTAGCCTACCGCTGGGTCATTTTTCTGCCTAAATCCAGCCAAAACTGAGCATCAATGGCAATTACTTGCAAGAGCATTTTGTTTACCAGTAGTAGTATTGCAGGTTGATGATATTTTTACATTATAAATCAAGCCAGACTCTGGGTCAGTTTGGTAAAAATAGATAAAAATCTGGTTTTTTTCTAAAAAAAAATTGTTTTCACAACAAGAATAATGTTCTGATGATCTCATAAAGCACTGTAGGTTTTAAGGATGTAAGTGGTGAGTGTCCACTTTGTTTTCAGGCCAGCAAAGCTGTGTTCTTTATGATCAGATTTTATCACCAAATCTTACTAGCTGCCAAATCTAATGGCAAAATGCAACTTGGTATTGCCTACCCTCAGACCATTCCGCTACAAATAATATTCAGTTTCCAGATGGTTGATCTGCCATTGCAACACAGCCATAAGGTAGCCATGGCTTTTTTTATCCGTTTGAGTATCCCAGCTCATCTGTATCCAAGCATAATTTGTTTCTGACACTTTGGGAGACGATCACCTGCATAGACATTCTTGCAGAATATTTGACCCTGAATACCTATTCTGATGCCAAGATAAAATATAGTTACTTGAAACTTGCCTACAACATCCAAGATGAGCTACCAAGCCAGGACTTCCAAACACCTGAGTAGCTACTCTGTTCCCTGCTGCTGCCATGCAACCAAAAGTCCCTGCTGCAAGAGATGCTAATCTGGCCTGCCTCTGCTGAAGAGAGACCTACCTGTTGGGGTAGAGATGTTGGAGATCCCTTAGACTACTCCGCTTCAGTCTTTGGTCTGCGATCAACAGGAGAGTTTTGTGTCAGTTGCCTGCCAGCTGCCTTTAAATAATGAATCTGCAAAGTCACTAATTGGTTATTTTTGCTCGTGTGCCTGAATAAAACGCTTAATCTTGGATAATCCATTATGTAAAAACCAACTGTAATCCTCACGCTGGTGGGTCTGACTGCTATACTAATACAAACAATGCTTTTACATAATGGAAAAAGCTGCCCAGAAAGCTAATAAGTCTACTGATGTGATTGTACCACACCTTTGTCTCATTGAAGTCTTTCTGCGTCTGACACGTGTTAGGAGAAAAAGCACAGAGCATTAACCAGGGAAACTCAGGGACTATACATACTCGTCTGCATAGACACATGTTCATTTTGACAACCTGCATGGAGTAGCTGTATAATTAGCTCTTCCAGTATCTGCATCATCAAAGTAATCCTTGTACAAGTATGAAGATGTTATGTGTTATCTACTGGGGAAAAAAAGTGCAAAAATAAAGGTTCTGTCTTCATGTTGACACCAAAATCTTGGAGTCTCTAGTTTTCCTGTGCACTTTATACTCATTCTTCCCAGCTCATCTTTTCAACATTTGCAGTTACATAAATAGTAGAGCTCCCATCTTCCCAAGATGCTCTTCCTAGAAGCCTTCCATTAGGATGCAGTAAGGCACAAAAAGATGAGAAGGCAGAAATGGCTGAAAAATCCATGCCTGCTATTCTTACAGTTTCTCCAAGTGTCCAACAAATTTCCCCAGTGCCAAAGGCTGCCCTTTTACTCTTTCCACCTGTGACATTTAAGACTTCAGACACTCATTGAGGAGTTGCCAGTGCTTAGTAGTTACTTCTTCCACTGGGCTGCTGGGTGCTGGGAAGCCTCACATATAGATGTACCCACTAAAAATGACTCTGTAATTCCTTCAGAGTATTCCCAGGAAGTCCTGAACCTCCTGGTACTGTTCAAACAGTCTGGACATTCAGAGTAAGGCTAAAGCCTGTTGGATATGCTGGACTTGGGTGAGAGCACCCATCCCAGGCTGGGGGTGATCAGGAGCGAGTGCCACAACATGCCTCTTTCTGCCTCATGGAGGGTCTGAGTGCAGCCTCCATGCTCTCCCAGCCACGGTACACACATGCCACCACACCCCGTGCTCTTGGCTGTTGGTTAGAGGCTTACTTTGGGGAAGGTGGAGCACTTTGAGGCTGGCCTGTGTGATGCACAATGGCCCCTGGTTTTCCCTGGGCATTGTGGCTGGGTTTATTCAGGGACATCAAGACCTGGAGGTGTGGGGAGATGTCACACACCCAGTCTCTATGATGAAGTACTGGCTGCAATGTGGGTCTGCCTCATCCTGCCTGGACTCCTTGGCCTGATTTTTTAGAAAGACACCAAACAGCCATTTGCTGAACTAATCCTTCAGCTACAGCTGTCCACTCACCATATGTACCATGCTCCAGGGATGAGCAGGATCCCTGAAAGGATTGCGCATGGCTGGCGGCCTTCAGCAGCAAGCGTCAAGATAACCAGCTCTGTTAATTGAGGTACAGCTCATTACCTACGGCCTTGTGTACACCCTGTGATGCTTACTTTCAGCTGCCCTGGCATACGCTCCTACTTGCGTCTTCTTCACCAGCAGCGTTTACTTGATTTAGAAGTGAAGGAAAAATCAACAGAAAGCCCTTTTAATTTATTTAAAATGCTTTGCCACTTAAAGTATAACATGAAAAGTAACTTCTTGGACTGATTTTTGAGGTCCAGATGCCCACTAGATTTTCAGAGGACATTCACCTGAGTCCCAAGTGCAGAAGTGTGCTTTTACACCCCGACATGAGGATTTGAGAGAGAATGAACCGCAGTATTTTCTGTAAATTGGAAGGGCTTTGAAACACTTATCACTTCATCTGTTTCCAACAAAACAGATTAGTTTATGTCCATGTGAGACATAGGTGACACTGGAAGCCATGCTTAGGTGACCACTTAATCCCCTGGGGATTAGAGACCTACTAATAATAGCTAATCACAGCCCAAGATTTTGGTTGGTGACCATAGCATCTGTTACTGCCTTATTTGCTGTTTGGAGCAAGAAGAAAACAAAATCAAACTAACCTTCATTTTCACAGTATAATGGTAGTTTGTCCTGGGCGTATTAAAAAAACAGAGAGGCATGAAAACCCTGAAGTGTGTTCCTGGGGCTGTGAAATTTGGTGTGACATAAAATGGATCTTGTAAAAACAAAGGTGCACTGCAAGGCCTGGTTGTCAGAGAAGATGTCCAAGGTCCTGTTCCAGACCTGCTCACCAAACTGGCTGTATTTTGATAAAAGAGGTAGTTTGACGAAGAAAACCCATATATTCAGTCTACTGGACTCAGCACAAGAGAAACTGGTGTTTTAATGGCCTGCAGTAAAACGGGTATGCGGAAGAGATGATCTTATCTTCTGCCCTATCCTATGAAATACAGCAGCAGCAGTTTTGGATTTCCTATCCCTAGCAGCCCCCCTTCTTCTGCCTTATTACTGGAATAAGCATTGGGTAAACTGCTCTGGGAATTACTGCAATTGCACTGCCGGCTCAGATTTAGCAACATGTGCTAGCTCAGCAGTCGATGGCACGGTATGAGATCTCTAAATAGCCTCTCACATCAGGCATTAAGTCCCCTGCTGTCCAGCAGGCAATCAAGTTGCAGGCTTGTTTACTGGTGTGATGGAGAACAACTACATATAGATGCATTTTGAGTTACCTTTTGACAGCTTTCGTTGTAATGGTTTTAGCACAGTGAGATGGAAGGATTTTCTGCTCTAGCTTTAGATCTAATGTGCACTGCTGAGGATGCAGGGTTTCCTTCTGGGTTGTCACACACATGCCTGCATTGCTGGAGAAACCGTGTGCCAGGTCCGCCAGGGACTGAGGGGACAGAGATTGTCTGCTCTACTGCCTCACCAGGGCAGGAGGCAGGAGAAATAAGGTTTTCCCATAGTGACACACCACAGGAAGGCTGTTGGCTAACAGGTTCTCAGTTTCAGTGACTTCTGCACAGAAATGCTAATCTTTTCCAATGAAGAGAGTGATGCAATACAGGTGAAAAGGAAGTAGTTTAAAGCTTGTTCCTCCATGGTTCAAGGGTAAGGTTCCTGGGTGTGTTGCATCGTTAGATAAAAAAGCATCATAAATCACTGCCTTATGACTTTAAAAGTGCCATTCAATTACCTCACAGCATTTAATGACATAAACTGAAAGGCACCTTTCCTTTCTGAGGGATGGTAGTGTAATTCTTGCTAAACCTATTGACTGACAATTGCTAGAGCAGGAGCTTACATGCTTCTGTGCACATAACACATCTCGGACACAGACAGACACATGTCCCCCCAGTTTGCAAGCAAGAACAGGAGGCTGCTCAAAGCACAGGGAAGTCGAGGAGCCTCAGCCTCAGCAGCCAGCCCGGGGGGGAATGGTTTTCTCAGGGCCACTCTCAAGGGCTGGGCAGCAGAACTAAGTTAAAGGCTCTCTGTCAAACTTCAGCATCTTGCTGCCTTGGAAGCACAGGATGAATGGAGAGCTGACTAAAATCTCTCCCGAAATGGAATTCTGATGCACAGGGATATGCCAACCAGAGGCAGATCAGATTTTGTGCTCTCTGCTGATTTCTGCACAACTATGTGGGTGATTGTTGCAGCTGCTGGATTTCACTCTTCAAGCCATGACGGTTTCCCTGATGGCCTGTTGTTACTCTGTACCAAAAGACAATCCAGCCCTGAGGCAAGGTGATGAAAAATACACTTTTTTGACCATCAGATAAACTGGTGGACATTTCTGGTTGTTATTTTCAGGTATTTACCACTAGGCATACTGTTGACATATCCAGTATTTGCTACTTTTGAACTGGTCCATTTGCAGACATTTGGCAGATTTATTAATTTCATTTGCAGCATTTTTTTAAAGACATAGTATTTGCATTTTCTTGCCGATCTGCCAGCTTCTGGTGGGCAGAGATGAACCCATTCAACACAAGAAGCCCGGAGAGCCTGCCTTTTCGAAGTAGGCAAGAAGGGTGGCATCTGCAAACATGAGAGGAGTTCTGCTCTCTGGGGCCAAGGTCTTTTCACTTGAAGACAGCTGTGGAGTGTTTCCTTGGCCTGATCCTGTTCTTCTCCCAGGGGAAAGCAGGAGGAAGGAAGTTGTGTCCTTGAGGTGGACAGTACCCCCTGCCACATTTTGCAGTGCTATAACAAACCAGAGTTTGTTTAACCCTTAGCATTATTCCCTAACTTGTTGCAACACATGATGTAACAGCACAACATACTTCCTCCATTATATATTGCAGAGAGTAAGTGCTGCCTCCAGCTTATTGCTCCAGATTACTCCGGCAGGATATTTACAGCTCCTTACATGGCGTGCATCTCAAGGTGATTTACAAAAGTGATACTGCTAGGACAGGGCTTGAGTACTTCTGGATAAGCCAGGATGTCCATGCCAGCCCTGATGATGGATTTAAAAGCTAAAACCAGAAGCACAAACTGCCAAAGCCAAGGGAATCTCTATGTGCATGCAGCCAAAGGCCATTAGCCAGACACCTGGCCTTAGTAAACATTAGGGGATGCAGTTTCCATCTGCAACAGAAGGTGGAAACAGGAGGGAAGGTTTAGGTCAAAGCACCTCTCTTCACTTCAAGGAGAGGGTGTTTGTGAGGCTGAGTAGTGAGTCACAGAGCTAGAGAGTAAGGCAAAGTCTTTCACGTACAACTGCATTTCAGCTTTCTCTGCTTCCTCTGTGGGAGAAAAGAATGAACTTCTTTATATTGCTTTGGAAAAGGGAAAAGAACTGTAGAGGTTTTTTCTAAGCTATCAAAGATTATTGAATTTTTTTTTTTTTTCATGGAGGATTTAGTTTTGGTTGATGGTTTAAACAGTTGATTTTCTTTGAAGCTGAAGGATCTGAGAGGGTAAATATTCCCTGTGGGACCATCCCAGCCTTGATTTCCACCTACCCAGCAGCCCCCCTGGCTTGCAGAAA